CCCAAAGTGCTGGGATTACAGGCATGAGCCATCGCGCCTCAACCAGGACTTCCTTACTTCCATAAAGAGCAGAGAGACTGGCTGCTCTGTGCTCATCCCCTTTCTTTAGCACTCAGTATGACAGGTAGGTACTGGTCATCAAGATGAAACACATATAATTCCCTCATCACAAAGCAGGACAGCAGCATAGGAGGATACAGTTATATGAGCCCAGGGTTTAAAAACAAGAATCTTGAATGAGAGCACTGCTGTCAATTTGATGACTTTTGGATATTTATGTAAAGTACCTTTACCAGATAAATCAAGAAAATACAAAATTTTAGATGTTGGGAAGGATACTGTGAAAGGAACATGAGGTCAGAGAAATAGTCATGTAAACATCAAGACGTTTGAGGCAACACGTCTTACATGAAATGAGAATGAAGTGTAGACCCACTTTTTTTCCCCTGTGAGGAATTTCACTTGGAAACCACCCTGCCTGTTCAGAGTTCTCACAGTCAAGGTGAGCTGAGCCTACTTCAGACTCCAGGCCAGGAGAATGTTGGGGCCTGGCAAACTCGACCTTGGCCAACTTGACCCTGACTCCAAAATAATGACAATAACACCAGCCGATGACGACAGTGGTGACAGTGATGGGTGGTGGCAGGGGCTCTGGGAAGGAGGCACACACCTGCCTCTTAGGGTTGGGCCCCGCTGGACATGGGCTGGAGATCAAAGGTAACATAGAAGAAAGTGAGACCCAGAGAGAGGGATGCTTCCCAGAGACATTGTTTGAGTACCTGGGCAAGGTCACACTGCACATTACCGCTGCCCTCTGCATATGGAATTATGTGAACCCAAAATGGGTTGGCGTAGGTTTCTGTAACTTGTGTCAAAGAAGAATCCTGACTGGTGATCCTGTTCAGTGTGTTGAGTCCCTTGTGTTCAAATGCATGTGGCTCCAGTCTTCACCCGTCAGAGCCAGTGTCCCGGGGCAAGGGCCACAACCTGCCTGCACATCTGAATGACCTGGGGAGAGGTGGAAACACAGACTCCCTGGACCTGGTCCTGGAGATGCCAATTAGCTGGATCTGGGACAAGGTCCAGATACAGGGATAGTTGAGTCAATGCTCCAGGTGATTCTGATGCAGATTGCCAGTTTGGAAACCAACGTTCTTTTTTTTTTTGAGTAGAAGCCTCACTCTGTCACCCAGGCTGGAGTGCAGTGGCATACGCATGGCCACTGCAGCCTCAACCTGCTAGGCTCAGGTATTCTTCTACTTCAGCCTGAAGTAGCTGGAATTACCCACACGCGCCACCATGCCCAGCTAATATTTTGATTTATTATAGATATGAGGTCTCGCCAAGTTGTCCAAGCTGGTCTCAAACCCATGGGCTCAGGCAGTCCTCTCACCTCGGCCTCCCAAAGTGCTGGGAAGCGTGAGCCACCGCATCCAGCTGGGAACCAACATTCTAAGGAACACATTCTGGAAAACACAGCCCTAAGTAACCCTTTTATGTGGACTGTACAAACTTTCCTGGTAGTTGCTTACATTTCTGGCAGTGTATTTTTACAAAATGCACATCATCTAAAAGACCTTTTGAGGAGCTTACACAGATACCTGGTATTTTTAAGGTTCTCATTCAGGACTCAGCAAGGTCTTGAATAGCATCGCTCCAATAACTCATTTCTCCAGATATCATTTGGAGAATAAAAGTCACCTTTCAGTTATACAAAACAGGTGATTCTGTGTAGGCCACCAAAGCCAAGAGAAGTGACGTGGCTGCAGTTTATATCCCTAAAATGCTCTCAGCCATCTAATGTCAACAGCAAGTCTTAGCTGGTTTTAGAAGGGAGGCAGGTAAAAGACTGTATTTGTGGAAAGTAACCTGGCAACAGAGCCCTAAAATCCCAGTAACACTGACCCAGTATTTCCACTTCTTGGACTCCAACCCAGGAAAATAATTAAACAAGTATGCAAAAGCCATGCACAGAGATGCTCCGCCCAGCTGTGTCTCTGACAGCCAAAGACTTCAGACAGCTGATGTGTCTATCAACTGGGAAATGGTTCGATTAAGTATGTGGCCTTTAAAAACATGTTGCCAAGAATTTTTACCACCATGCTTACAAAACAACAGTTACTGAGAATGCTGATACACACACAAACACACACCCACCTCCACACAGAGTTACACATACACACACACACTGCATACTGCTGATATAGACATATACACACCATATAATCTTACCTCTTTGTTTAAAAATATGGATACAAAGGACAAAATTATGAACTTTGCAGCAACTTGGTTGGACTTAGAGTCTATAATACTGAGTGATTTATCACAGAAACAAAGAACTGAGTACCACATGTTCTCACTCATAATCGGACCTTGAATGATTATCATAATACTATAAGAAAGGGATTGGCAGTAGTGGGAAACTACCAGGGGAGGGAGGGGGTACCTGATGTCAAACCAGGTGAAGTGGGGGACCAAAATGAGGCCCAAACTTTTCCTACACAACGACCATTTTTATGCCTTACCCAACAACTTCAGAAAATATATATACATGGATACAACTGCATCCATGCATAAAACAATAGAAGGAAATCCAGCAAAATAATGACAGTGATTATCTCTGAGTAATTTCTATTTTGTTCCTTATAGTTTTTTTTTTGTTTTTTTTTTTTTGAGTCAAGGTCTCATTCTGTCGCCCAGGCTGGAGTGCTGTGGCACGATCACAGCTCACTGCAGCCTCAACCTCCTGGGCTCAGGCGATCCTCTTGCCTCAGTTGCCCAAGAAGATAGGACTATAGGCCAGAACTACCACACCCAGTTAATTTTTAAATTTTTTATAGAGATGAGATCTTGCTGTGTTGTCAAACTGACAAGCTTCTGCAAAGCCAAAGAAACCATCAAGAGAGCAGGGAGAGAGACCAACAACTGGGAAAAAATATTTGCCAACTCTATGTCTGACAAAGGCCTAACATCTAGGATCTACAAGGAACTCAAACATGTTGAAAAGAAAAAAAACAAACAGCCCCATCACAAAGTGGACAAAAGATATGAATAAACAGTTCTCAAAAGAAGACATACAAACAGCCAACAGATACATGAAAAAATGTTCAGCCTCACTAGTCATCAAAGAAATGCAAATTAAAACTACACTGAGAAACCACCTAACTCCAGTCAGAATGGCCATCGTCAATAACTCAAAAAATAACAGATGCTGGAGAGGATGTGGTGAAAAGGCAACACTTCAACACTGTTGGTGGGAGTGTGAACTAGTACAGTCTCTGTGGAAAACAGTTTGGCGATCCCTAAAAGTTCTAAAAATCAACCTTCCATATGACCCCATATGACCTTTCAGAATATACATGAAAGAACTCAAATCACCCTATAAAAAGATACCTGCACACATATGTTTATCGCAGCATTGTTCACAATAGCAAGAACATGGAACCAACTGTGGTTGTGTATTTGTGGTACATATACACAATGGAATATTACGCAGCCATAAAGAAGAACAAAATCATGAACTTCGCAGCAACCTGGATGGACTTAGAGTCTATAATACTGAGTGATCTTTCACAGAAATAAAGAACTGAGTATCACATGTTCTCACTCATAAGTGGACCTTGAACAACTATCATAATACCATAAGAAAAGGAATGACAGAGAAGGAAACTGGGGAGGGGGCAGGGAGGTGGGATTGACAGTAGTGGGAAACTGCCTGGAGAAGGGGGAGCACACCTCATCAACAAGGGTACCTGCACAATATTTGTATACCTAACCCTGAGTTGTACCCCACAATTTTAAAATAAAAAATTTTTTAAAACCATGATATATTATTAAGTGAAAATATAGGATACAGGTAGATAGTCAATATGGTACTGATCATTTTTTTAAAAAACTATATGCATATACACAACTAATATACACATATACATGTTTCAGCCAACCATGGACCACATATACGATGGTGGTCCCATATGATGATAATGTTATATATTTACTGTAACTTTTCTATGTTTAGATATACAAATGCTACCACTGTTTACAGTTGCCTGCAGTATTCAATACAGTCACATGCTGCATACGTTTGTAGCCTAGGAACAGCAGACTGTACCACATAGCCCAGGTACGTAGAAGGCTAGACCATCTAGGTTGGTGTAAATTCGCTCTTTGCTATTTGCCCAATGATGACATCACCTAACAACACATTTTTCAGAACCTATCTCCATCATGAAGTGACACATGACCCTATATTTATGCAACAAATTCAGGAAACTATTAATAACTGTTAAGTCTGGGAAGTGGAATTATAAGTAATTATTTTCTTCATTCCACTGATATATCTTTCCCAAACTTTCTGCGATGGGAATGGACTACATTTCAAGTCAGAAGGAAACACAATAAATTGTATTTAAACAACAGCTTCTATGAGCAACACTTCCTGGGGCTTTCTGTCCATATCTGGAACCCTCTGCAGCTGGGGAGCCCCTGTGACATGGTCCTGAGCTCCACAGCCCTTGCGAGCACCCACACCCCAGAGGTGCCCCAACCAACGCCTGCAAGGTTCACAGCAGTATCCAGTGACAAAACTATAAGATGGCAATAATAATAATGACCACCGCTCACTGAGCTCTTCCTATGCACCTGGCATCGTGCCCAGTGCTTCCCAGACATCACCTCCTCGAATCCTATGAGGCAGGTCCTCTCCCAGCGAGGGAAAGAGCAGGGACCACAGCCCTGGCCCGTCCAGTTCTCAAACCCACGGTCACAAGCCCCGTGCTCCAACCAACATCGCGATCCCACAGTAAACACATATCTTAGGAACAGCACATCTCTGTACCATCAGTCACTCAGGAGTGCATCTGAAATACCCAGAACCTTCTTTCTGATCCGTTTATGTAAGAAGAATGTTAAATTTTTACTCTGACCTATAATTATGGTTCCCAGAGGTCGTTTTTTATAAATAGCAATCCCGCTGCTGTTCTTGTTTTCGCCCTACCTACCTTCTCTTCAGATGGGTAAAAGCCAATTGCTCTCATGATAAAAGGAAGCTCCGACAGGCAGATGTGTTCTGATACCTTTCTGGTCTCCATTGTGTCAATACCTTGACTGTGGAGCTGAGAATAGTAGAAATAGTCTTCCAGCTCCTACATGGAAACAAAACAGAAAACAACACACATTTTGGCTTAAGTCTGAAGCATCCATTAAGACTTCAAGGACATTTTCTAGAAAGCACACTTTGAGCTCAGTGAGGGGAAAAAGCAGGAGGGTTTTGGAATAAAGCAAGAGGGTTAACCCCGGGCACATTTGTTTTACAAACGTAACTACCAGTTACCAGGAAGTGTTTAGTCTGAGGACAATTACCCTGTAGCATTTTCCTTCCCTGCCACCAGACATCAGACCATAGAACGGGGTCAAGTCTTCGCCCCCCAGAGAAACCGCTGCCTCCAGGACACTAGAACAATAACAGAAACATCACTATTAGGAAGCACTCATGCGCGAACACATTTCAGACGGCAGTCTGATCTGACCACGGTCTCTGAAGGGTATTACCACGCAGATACAGTTAGGGTCTCTGTAAACTTGTTAAGAAATGTCCCTCTAAAATGAAACTGAAAACAGAAAATTCAATTTCAGCGTGGAACTCAGTGGTACAGGGCGGCCGCCTTAATTATGGTGATATTCTCCTGCTGATGACAGGGCAGGCGCCTGGCAATTTGTCTGCAATCTTTGGGGAACACACCTCTCCTGGGGGAGGGAGAAAGCGCAGGGGTGGGGGGAAGGTCCTGTGCTCTGAATCCACAATCCTCCCAAGCAGAGCAGCTTACCTGTAACTTTAGATTCACATATGACCAGAGCCAAAAGAATGGGATATTGTGCAGGTGGACTGTCAGCACTAATTGCTTCCATAAAAACTCAGGAGACCACAGGGACCCATGCCAGTCAGATAAAAATAACCCTCTGCTCTCTAATACAGGGTCAGATTTTCCAAAAATAGGCCCTTTAAATGGTAAGAGAACCTACTTTTGTATGAGACCGATTTTGCCTCATGTAAAGGGCTAGTAACCGGAAATCATTATAATAATCCACTGATTGGATTTTTGCTAATCAGGAGATTAGCCTCTTTACTGGGATATTAAAGCACACTTCGATGTAGACCACAATGGGGAAGTGGAGGCACAGGGACCTGCGTGTGAATCCTAGCTCGGCCACTGGCAAGCTGTGTGACTGCGGGCAGATAACTTAACCTCCCTGGTCTCAGTTTTCTCAACTGTAAAATGGAGAGATTTACAGAACCTGCTTCAAAAGGTTGTTTAAGAATTAAGTAAGTGAGCCGGGCTTGGTGGCTCAGCCTGTAATCCCACGTCTTTGGGAGGCTGAGGTGAGTGGATTGCCTGAGCCCGCGGGTTCGAGACCCGCCTGGGCAGGCGAGACCTCATCTTTACAATAAAATAAAAAAATTAGCCGGGTGTGGTAGCGCATGCCTGTAATTCCAGCTACTCTACTCGGAAGGCTGAGGCGGAAGGATCATCGGAGCCCAGCGGGTCGAGGCTGCAGTGGCCAGGAGCGGCCACTACACTCCAGTCTGGGCGACTGAGCGAGACTCCAACTCAAAAAAAAAAAAAAAGAATTAAGTAAGTGAATGCACATAAAGGATTCGAGACAAAGCCCTTTATCTTCCTCCTGTTACACATGTTGGTTGAGGTGTGGGGTTGACTCAGGAGGACAGGGATGGACATGAGCCCAGCCCCATTGCTTGCTCCATTGCCTGGGCAGTCAGAGCTAGGTTCTGCCTAGGCAGTCAGAGCTGTCCAGTGGGGGTAACAGCAGCACCTGCCTCACAGGACGGCTGGGGATGACATGAGGTAATGCTCATCAAACACCAGCACTGGGCCTGGCCCAGAGACAAGGCTCAGGATGAAGTGGTCAGGATTATCATTACCATGGAAATGGGCACTGCCATGTACCTATGCTCCTCTTACAAAGAGGCAGTCACACACTTGCCCTTGGTCCTTTTTGGGGGCCCTGAAAAAGCCTGCAGGCTGCGGCAGAGTCTGAGGGACCTGGTGTAGTCGCCAGGTGGGCCCCAGGGCCCCTTCCAGCCAGGCTGGGTCCTCACCCACTTCTTGGCTCTGATATTGGGTCATGGAGGCAGGTGTTCAGCTGAGCGGGCTCCCTTTCTGTGGCCTCCAGGCCAGGTCCAGGCCCAATCCTGACAGGTTCCATGAGCTGTGAAGCCACTTTTAGCCATGTGGCTCTGGAGCAGGGCCAGGGAGAGGCCGGACGTGGCCCAGAGGAGCCTGTCACCACCAGGAACCCCTGAGGGAGAGACTCACAGAGCTCCGGGTCCTCTGGGAACAGTCTAGTACTCTGGGTTTCAGAGGTCAGGGCTATACTATGCCCCTGCTTCCTGGCCACTGTCGACCAACCCAAGAGGGGCCAGGGGACTCTACTGTGATTTCTTCAACCAAAGCAGGGAAAGAGATTCCCTCGCTCTGGGGTGGGAACCGCAATTTGTGAAATTCGGGACCTGTCAGTGGCCATGTGCCTGCTCAGTGGAGAAAGCCGGATCTGCAGAGAATGACACCAATGGCACAGCCAGGCTGAGTGGGAATGCTGAGGACACCCAAGGGTGCTGCTGTCTTTGTCCTTCCTGCTGTGCAGCTGCAGCGCTCCCAATGACCTTCACAAAAATTCTCTTTTTGCCTAAATTGGGTTTCTAATACTTGCAGCAGAAAAAGAGGTCCCTGGGGGCACAAAAGGGAAGCGACATTTATTGAAAGCCTACTGTGTACCCACTACATACAGTACTTCTGGGAAGTAAGCTGAAGTTCAAGAAGCACTGTGACGAGCACATAGTAGACACTCAGGAAATGCTTCCTAGAAGAGGAGGAGTAATAGTCATGATACTGATCATCACCCTCAAAACAACTCTGAACTCGGTGACAACATTCCCAGTTCACAGGTAGAGAAACTGAGACCCAGAGACATGAAGGGACTTGCCTGACATCACCCAGCAAGCAGCAGTGCTGCTGAGATGTGAATCCTGGTCTCTCTGTTCTTGCCTGAGCAGCAGGTGGCAGGACGCAGTGAGGTTGAACATAAAAAGATGGGGCCTTGCCGGGCATGGTGGCTTATGCCTACAATCCCAGCTCTTTGGGAGGATTGCCTGAGCTCAAGGGTTCAACGTGGCGAGACCTCATCTCTACAATAAATCAACAAATTAGCCGGGCGTGGCAGCGCATGCCTGTAGTTCCAGCTACTTGGAAGGCTGAGGCGGACGGATCGCTGGAGCCCAGCAGGTCGAGACTGTGTTGACCGTGAATGTGCTACTGCGCTCCAGGCTTGGTGACAGAGTGTAACTCCAACTCAAAAAGAAAAGAGGGACTTTAAAACAGATGCCAGACAAGGAAAGAAAAAGGGTGACACAGTAGCAAAGATGAGCAGGGGTGGGTGTGGATGTGTGCCATGCCTGTGATGGGGGTACTTGGGCCTAGGAGTGCCTGATGAAAACAATAGGAATGTGAAGGGGTTGGTCGTCGTCATTTTGCCCTACCATTTGTCATCAGAAATCTAGTAGGAAATTGTGTTTATTTGTTTAGGGTTTTTACATTTCTTTCCATTAGTGAAGCATTGAACATATTAAGTCACCAGAAGCAGCAATGAAGTGCTAATTAGTTTATAATGATCCTGTGTCCCCACAACAGATTAAATTGAAATTCTCAGAAGCCTGGACTCCAGCCAGGCACAGGAAAGCAATTGGAAGGCGGGAGACTTTTTTTTTTTTTTTTAACTCTCTATCATTCCAGATCCCATGATGACAGAAGAGGATAGAAGTGAAAAAGGGACGGGTCTGTTGTCCTGCAGGGTGTGGCTTGCTTGACCCCTTGGGCCCAGTCTGAGGACATATCAGGAAGTGCTTTTCTTTTATCTTTTTTCTTTTTTTTAGATGAGAAAGTAGGAATTTATTGAGAAGACAGGAAACTCCCGGCAGTCGTAGGGGTCCCAAAGTGTTGCCCAGGAAATGCTTTTCAATGGACGGGCTCACCTCCAGTGTCTAAGTCCCCAAATTCCCAAGATCTGCTCAAGGCAGAGGTGAAAGTCAGAGGTGCAGCTACAATCTGAAGCCACCATGGCTCCAAAGCGGGTTAACTGGCTATTTTTGCTCATATTCAGGTTAAGAGGAGAAGCGTCAACGTCTGCCATAAAAAGAAAGATGTATACTCGGCAGATGGCGGGGGGTACACTTTACTGGAAGCCATGAATCAAGTGTGTTCTTTGAGGAAGGAAGGTGTCTCTGAGCAGTTTTTGCCTACCTCCTTAACTGTCAGGAGAGATGCCTGAGACAGGCAGAGCAGGGGTCTGGAGAAGGTGGTCAGGAATAGGAACTGGCTTCCGGGTGGCTCATTCCACCCTGCGGCAGTTCAGTGGACTTGGGCAGACAAGGGGATCATGTGAGTGCTTGCCCCCTCTTTTAGTAAGAAGGATCCTGAGCTCATAAGCAAATGTTCTTATCAGGAAGAAGAGAAGAAAGAAACCATTAATTTACGGAGTACTTGGCTCTGTGCAAGGTGCTTTACATTTATTAACTTACCTGATCCCTACAAGGATCCCCTAAAAGGCCCTGTTGTTACTTGCATTTCACAGACAAGATCACTGATGTAGAAACCTACCCTAGAGCCAGGCGCGGTGGTTCATGCCTGTAATCTCAACACTTTGGGATGCGGAGGTGAGAGAATTGCCCGAGCCCAGGGGTTTGAGACCAGCCTGGGCAACTTGGCGAGAACTCCTCTCTACAATAAATCAAATTAGCCAGGCCCACACCTGTAGTTCCAACTACTTAGAAGGCTGAGGTGAAAGGATCACCTGAGCCCAGAGGGTTGAGGCTATGGTGACCAGGAGCATGCCACTGTACTCTAGCCTGGGCAGACAGAGTGAGACTCAGAGAGAGAGAGAGAGAGAGAGAGAGAGAAAGAAAGAAAGAAAGAAAGAAAGAAAGAAGGAAAGAAAGAAAGAAAGAAAGAAGGAAAGAAAGAAAGAAAGAAAAGAAAAAGAAAAGAAACCTGCCCTAGGCCCCAAAGCCAATAGAGAGCAGGCCCCATGTTCAAACTCATATCTCTTTGACTTTAAAGTCCACGCCTCATCGATGTTCAGCACTAGAATTCTCCAGCCTCGCTTTAGGCAGAGATTCACAGTTCAGGGAAGGGAGGGCAAGAAGAGTAGCCTGAAAACACATGTTTCAAATAATACTATTTCTGGGATGCGTGCTTTGGAGATTCGGCCTAGATCTTTCTAGCTGTTGTGGATATGGAGAACCAAGTGAGAAGTATATTAGGTAGCAAGGGTGAGCCCGTGGTAAAGTCACACCACCTGAACTGCAAATGCCATCAGTTCCTGAAACAGAAGAGCCACCTTGTGTTGTGCACATCAATGTGGACAGATGTCACGGGGCAGTGACCTAAAGATCAGGCCTTGTGACATCCTAGCACAGTGCCTGGCATACAGTAGTGGAACAGCACAAAAGCAGGGTCTACACTTGACAGCTTTCTTCTAGGGCCGAGATTCTTATCCCTTCATGTACCTTAAGTTGATTTTCCACTGCACGACCGAGCGATCCTGCCCTCCTGCTGTGAAGGCATAGCAGCCGTCATAGGAAAGGGCCATTCCAGCCACCCCGTTTGGGTGGCAAACAATAGCACATGTCTTATGTGGATTGCCATCAACTGGTAAGATCTGAAGTCCAACCTAGAAAGGAATACGTAATTGAATAGTCAGATTCAGGTAACTGGGCTCCAAAGTGAGACCTGGCACACTCACATGTCACCTCTAGATCTGTGTGCTGGAAGGATCTGTGTGTCTGGACTATCTCAGGGTGTGAAAGTCACACTTTTTTTTTTTTTTTTTGAGTCAGGATCTCATTCTGTCACCCAGGCTGGAGAGCCGTGGCTTGATCATGGCTCACTGCAGCCTTGACTTCCTGGGCTCAGATGATCCTTCCACCTCAGCCTCCCAAGCAGCTAGGACTACAGACACACAACACCACGTCCAACACCATGCCCGGCTAATTTTTTTTTTTCTTGTAGAGATGAAATCTTGTTAAGTCGCCTAGGCTGGTCTCAAACTCCTAGGCTCAAGCAATCCTTCCACCTTGGCCTCCCAAGGCATGAGCCACCATGCCCAGCTGAGAGCCGCATTTAATGCAGCTAGGCATTCACATAACTTTGGCCCTTGTAGGAGCGTCTCTGAAGGGAAACGGGACCTCTGCACAGCCTCAACAGGTACACAGAAGGGAAGTTTCCTCCTTGTCTTCACATTCAGATATCCAGAGTTTTCCAAAGTAATTCTCATCTTCTATGACCTTATGCCTTTTTTTCTTTTTTTGAGTTGGAGTCTCACTCCATCACCCAGACTGGAGTGCAGTGACACGCTCCCAGCCACCGCAGCCTCGACCTGCTGGGCTCCGGTGATACTTCCGCCTCAGCCTTCCAAGTAGCCAGAACTACAGGCGTATGCTACCACGCCTGGCTAGTTTTTGATTTATTGTAGAGACGAGGTCTCGCCAAGTTCCCCGGGCAGGTCTCGAGCTCGTGGGCTCAGGCAATCCTCTCACCTCGGCCTCCCAAAGTGCTGGGATTACAGGCTGAGCCACCGAGCCTGGCTGACTTTATGTTTTTCAATATAGATTATTCATTAAATGTACAACTAAGTGTAACTAATTTGCATGTTTTTACAGTTTTCCATGTAAATAAATAAGAAGGAAAAAATGCTGTGGTGGTCCATGTGCCTCCACTGGGACCACAGAAAATACAGTAACTCTGCTCAGAAATGCCTTCCAAGAGTCATCTCCACTAATCTTTGGCAATTCTCAGTAGCACAACTGACCCAGATGGAAGTAGCTGGGCTTGACTATGAAACCAGGCCTCCTTGAGTCCTGAAGTCTTTGGACTGACCTCTGCTTACCATCCACAGAGGCATCTCACAGAGGCCGAGAACAAAGGCTGCTACCTTGTCTCTGTTGATAAACACCAAGAAGCGCTTCTGGAGTTCCACAGTGGATTTCACAGGGAGGACTTGTGTCTGCTCCACAGGGGAGCCATAAATGGGTCCAAGAAGCGTCTTTCTGAAAGAGAGAAAAGAAAGATGTTAAAAATCCCACAAATCTCAACATAGATTTTAGGACTTTTGGCTCACGTCGCCCTTATACATTTTTAATTCTGAATTTTCTGTCTTGTCACTCAGCAAACCCCAGATATGAGAACCTCTCTCTCTACTGCTGCTAACAGCTGCTGGAAATAAGAGGCAACCGCTCCAAACAGCAACGCTCCAGGGAAGCTGTGGTTCTGCAGAATGCTTTCAGCAGTCGTGGCTCTGACTCTCCTCCTTGACAGCTGAGTGAAGGGAACATTATGCTTCAAGAATGTGTACGAGAACAAGGGACGAGAAAAAAGCTACAAGGAATTGACATGAATTGGCAGGACGCAAGTGAACACACCAGTCTCCACGGCAGGCCAAGAGATTGCAATGAGATGCCATATGTTGCCCCAGACAGTCAATGTACAGGTGTATATGCAACTCAGACTTCCAAAAAGTGATCTGTGTATCAACTTGTACCTGAATCCTGTCCCTGCACCAGTCAGACCTGTCGAATTCAGACTCTGCTGCACTAAATAGGAATCTGCTCACAGATGTGGGCACTGGACATGAACTTGGGCCCAGAGATGGATTCTCCCTGAAGCTACCAAAACTTAAGCTTCAAGACCCCTCACTCACACAGGTCCCTTCTGAGACCTGAGAGGTGCTCTACCCAATCTTTTGTTTTGTTTTGTTTTGTTTTGTTTTGTTGTAGAGATGAGATCTCAGTATGTTGCCTAGGTTGGTCTCTAACTTCTGGGCTCAGGCAATCCTCCCGCCTCGGCCTCTCAAAGTGCTGGGATGACAGGCATGACCCACCATGCCTGGCCATTGCCCATTTTAAAATCTGAATCATGTATCTTTTTTTTTTTAAAGAGCCCACAAATCTTTTTCTTTTTGAGTAGGAGTCTCACTTTATCACCCAGGCTGGAGTGTGGTGGCATGCTCATGGCCACTACAGCCTCGACCTGCTAGGCCCAGGCGATCCCTCCATCTCAGCCTTCCAAGTAGCTGGAACTACAGGTGCGTACCACTATGCCCAGCTAATGTTTTTTATTTATTGTAAAGATGAGGTCTCACCAAGTTGTCCAGGCTGGTTTCAAACTCCTGCACTCAGGCAATCCTCTCACCTCTGCCTCTCAAAGTGCTGGAATTACAGGCATGAGCCACCATGCCCAGCAGCCCACAAAACTGAATGCCATTCAACCCCTATAAAATTCAGATTTGGCCCTACCAATGTTAAACATCACTAATTTATGTTTCTAGCTGGGCATGGTGGCTCAAGCCTGTAATCCCAGCACTTTGGGAGGCGAAAGTGAGGACTGCCTGCGCCCAGGGGCTCAAGACCAGCCTCAGCAACTTGATGAGACCTCATCTCTACAATAAAACAAAAAGTTGGCTGGGTGTGGTGGTGCGCGCCTGTGGTTCCAATTACTTGGGAAAGCTGAGGCAGAAGGATCACCCGAGCCTAGCAGGTCAAAGCTGCAGTGGTCATGAGTGTGCCACTACACTCCAGCCTGGGTGATAGAGTGAGTGAGACTCCAACTCCAAAAAAAAAAAAAAAAAAAAAAGTATGTTTCTGTCTGTAACTTCTGTCCCCCTAAAAATGTATGAAACCAAGCTGTAATTCAACTACCTTGGGTACATGTTCTCAGGACCTCTTGGGACTATGCCGTGGGTCAACTTCACTCATATTTGGCCCAGAATAAACCTTGTTAAATATTTTACAGAGAAAAAAACAAAATAAAAAACCCCAACAACTCGAGTCTGCCCATTGTAATTCCAGCAGGGATTTTGTCTTATTCTATCACAGGCCCTGAGAGGCTGGATGTGTTTTCTCCCTTGTTCCCGACATTCAGCCCATGTCTGGGGGACAGTAGCTACTCATGTGCACATAAACGAACAGCAAAGTCCAAAATCATGTGCCCATAAACGATCAGCAAAGTCCAAAATCAAACCTTTCTTGAGCATCTCTCTGTGCCAGGCATTGTTGGGTGTTCTGGACACAGAAATGAATAAGATATGGCTCCCACCACTGAGGTCACAGCCTGGCAGGGACACACCTGGAACTCATGTGAGGGGAGCAGGTGGTGCTGCCAGCGAATTCATGGTGCAGGGGTTGCACGAGGGAGGAGTGAAGAGCCACCAGGTGACATCAGAGCTGGGTCTGGAATGGCGAATCAGAGATGTGGTGACGAACACGGAGGCCATGAAAACAGGCAGCAGGAACAGGAGGTGTGAAGGAAAGGGGCACGGAATATGGTCTGAGAACTGCTCAAGCCAAAGAGTCAGGGGAGAAGTGGAGCAGGGGGTGGGGGTGAAGGGAGGTGAAATTGAGGAGGTGGCAGTGGTAGCCATGAAGGCCGACTTTTCCTGAGTCACGGGAGGCTGTGGGAGAGCATTGAGCTGGGAAGAGCCATGACCAGGTGGATATGCATGCTGAATTAGGTGAAATGCTAAAAATGCTACAGTGACCACTGGGCAAGCAATGCACCAGCTAATTCTAAGTCACCCTCCTCTTATTCAAGTAGAAACGTTGAAGGGCTTTTTCTCCTATCATGAAGGGTGGAGGCAGCATAGAGCACAGACTGTGATCTGAATCCCTCGGACCCTTAAAATTGGGGGCAGGTTGGGGAGAAACTGGAATTACTGGTGGGAATGCAAGATGGTGCCATTGTTGGGGAAGACAGACTGGAAGTGCCTCCCATGTTTAAACACAGAGGTATTATATGACCCAGCATTTCCACTCCTTGGTCTGGATCTAAGAGAAAGAAACATATACACACACAGAAACCTATATACCTAAATGCTTACAACAGCCAAAAGATGGGCACACCCCAAATGCCCATCGACTGATGAACAGATAAACAAAATGTGACATATTCACACAATGGACTATTATTCAGCCATAAAAAGGAATGAAGGACTGATCCGCATCACAATGTGGATGAACCTTCAAAAACATGCTAAGTGAAGGAAGCCAGAAACAAAAGGTCACATATTATATGGCTCCATTTATAGGAATATGAATTTATATGTCTAGAATAGATAAATTCATAAGACAGAAAGCAGATGAGTGATTGCCAGGGACAGGGAAAGAAGGAATGAGGAGTGACTGCTGATGGGAACTGGGCTTCTTTTTGAGGTGATAAAAATGTTCCTGAAATGGAGAGTGGTGATGACTGTACAATTTGTGAATATTTATTTATAATATCAAACAGTGTATACTTATTTATTTATTTATTTTTGAGACAGGGTCTTGCTCTGTCATCTAGCCTGGAATGCAGTGGTGTGATCACAACTCACTGCAGCCTCGAATTCCTGCACTCAAGAGATCCTCCTGTCTCAGCCTCCTGAGTAGCTGGGACTACAGGCATATGCCACTGTGCCCGGCTAATTTTTTAATTTTTTTTTTAGAGATGGGGTCTTGCCCAGGCTGGTCTAGAACTCATGGCCTTCCAGAGTGCTGGAATTACAGGAATAAGTCACCACACTTGGCCACTTAAATGTGTACTTTAAAAGGGTGAATTTTATGGTTTGTGAATTATATCCCACTTTAAAGTATCAATAAGGGGAAAAAAGGCTAAGTTACTCAATCTCACTGTGCCTCAGTTTCCTTATCTGTAAAACAATGATAAGACAGTACTTATCCCATAAGACTATGGTGAGCATCAGATAAGTCAACTTACATAAAGCACTACAGTTTCTGGCACACAGCTATATAACTGTTACCTAGTATTATTAAACATATCTAACAATTTTATAAAATGAAAATCTTTTTCTTCTGATTGCAAAAGTACTACCTATTCATAGTGAACATTGTCAAACATTTAGACATACATAAAGTAGAAAATCTCCCTATATCTCCACATTGCTACACCCTATCCCAAGACAATCATGGGTAATAGTTTGGTGTATATGACTCAAGCATTTCTTTTGTAATTATACTTTTATATAAGAATAGATTTATGCTATTCATGCTTCATTGGCAATTTTCTTTATCTCATATTATATCTTTGAGGTATTTCCATGCTGCTACACAGAGAGCTATCTTACTTTTTCTTTTTTTCTCTTCTAAAAGCAGCATCATGTTCCAGTGTACTGACAAGCCATCATTAAACTAATCCCCTATTAATGGGCATTTGGATTATTTCCATTTTAAAAAATATTTTCAAACAAGACATCCTTTTACTTATGCCTTGGCATGCTGCGTGAGTATGTCTGTGGGCAACATTCCTAGAAGTCAGAAGATATGATAAAATTTAATAGAGGGTGACAAATTGCTTTCCCAAAAGGTTACGCTGATTTACACCCCCACCACAGCAAATGAGAGTGGCTATTTCTTCCACCCTTGCCAGCACTAGGCACTCTCAATCATTTTTATCTTTGCTAATCTGATTTGTGAAAAATGATATCTTGTTTTCATTTGCATCTTTGATATACTCGTGAGCATCTGCTCATAGGTTTATTGGCCTTTTTCTGTGAACGGCCTTTTCATGTTCTTTCAGATTTTTTTTTCTTTTTTCTTTTTTTTTTGTATTGGAGTCTCACTCTATTGCCCCAGCTAGAGTGCAGTGGCACACTCGCAGCCACCCCAGCATCAACCTGCTGGGCTCCAGCAATCCTTCTGCCTCAGCCTTCCAAGTAGCCGGAACTACAGACACGTGCTACCACGACCGGCTAATTTTTTATTTTATTGTAGAGACAAGGTCTCGCCAAATTGCCCATGCTGGTCTTGAACCCACGAGTTGAGGCAATGCACCTGTCTCGACCTCCCAAAGTGTTGGGATTACAGGCATGAGCCACTACGCCCAACCTCAAATATTTTTGAAATGCATTTAAAAATTATTTTAGATTCATCATTGAAAGGCAATTCCTTCCCAATTAAGCTGTGGTTATGAGGCTTTATTAGCCCTACAACTTGAGCTTTATTCAAGGGGTTTTATTTTGAAATGATGGAAATGTTCTGGAACTAGATAGAGGTAGTAGCTGCACAACACTGTGAATGTACTAACACTGAACTGCTTACTTTAAAATAGTTTTATATTGGGCAGGCCTGTAATCCCAGCACTTTGGGAGGTGGAGGTGAGAGGATTGATTACCTGAACTCAGGAGTTTAAGACCAGCCTGAGCAACATGGTGAGTCCTCGTCTCTACAATAAATAAAAAAATTAGCCCAGGCATGGTGGCTCATGCCTGTGGTTCCAGGTACCTAGAAGGCTAGGCAGAACGATCGCCCGAGTCCCGCAGGTTAAGGCTGCAGTGGCCATTAGCAGAGTGCCGCTGCACTCCATCCTGGATGACGGAATAAGACTCCGTCTCAAACAAATAAAAAGCTTTATACTAGATGAATTTCATTGATAAATTTTTTTAAAAGATGCTTTATACTCATTTCAGATTGATCCTCAATAGGCAGAAACCCCTAACTGTGTGGATAAAAGTCCCTCCTGCCTCTTTCTCTGGTTAATAACCATGAGCAGGAACTTTGAGCCTGAGGCAAGTTCCCTACTTCTCCTGATTGCTCTACAAAGTCAGTGTTTCTCAGGACTAGGCATATCTGAAGGATATTCTTTGTTTAAAAGTGTGTGTCAGCCAGGCACAGTGGCTCACTCCTGTAATCCCAATACTTTGGGAGGCGAAAGCGAGAGGATTATCTGAGCTCAAGGGTTTGAGATTAGCCTGAGCAACATGAATCCCCTAGAGAGAGACCTTGTCTCTACAACAGATCAAAAAATTAGCTGGGTATGGTGGCACATGCTTGTAGTTCCAACTACTTGGAAGGCTGAGGCAGAAGGATCACCTGAGCCCAGCAGGTGGGTATGGGTGTGCCACTGTACTCCAGCCCGGGCAACAGAGTGAGACTCTGACTCAAAAAATATATGTGTGTGTATGTGTGTGTCCATTAAAGATGATGCACAAAGATTCTGAAATATTTTTAATAGTTCTTTATGTATGCTTTGAAGTGTTTTAATAGTTTGAAACAATGGTATTGTATTTCTCATCCTGCCATACGATGTGGCATTTCTCAGTCATTTCTCCTTGTGCCTTCTGGACAAAAACTGTCACACACACTCAAAAAAAAGATTCTGGGTGGTCCTGCCTTTTGAAGACCTATCTTATCCGAGATCCATTTTGAAACCATGGTCTTTCTCAAGCATGGGCCAGCTGCTACTGCCTATTCCCTAACTTCCTTCTCATAGGCAGGGTCACTGAAGCATCCTCATACCCAGTTTCTCCTTCCTCCCTTCCTCTTCCCAGCCAGATTCAAGAGGCAGACAAGCCACAGGCAGACCACCTCCTCCAGGGCTGACCGGGCAAGATTCCGCAGCTAGGGGTGCATCGGGGCTCTATAGTGCTGAGTAGATGACAGAGTCCGGGGTCAAATTCAAGGGTCAAGTCCTACCTCGCTTGACCTTGGCCAAGTTACACAGCCTCCCCAAACCTCAGTGAGACACCATTTTGCAGGGTTGCTGATGAAATGGAATGATGAATCCAGGTCCTGGGTAGGGACAATGTACAAGGATCAATGTTTCTCTGAGGAGCGGTCCCTCCCTGGGAACCGCATGGGTTGGAAGCACAAGAGGTCACCCACCGACGTGTGATGACTTTTGAAGAGAGAAGAGGCTGCTCTAAGAGGCTAAGCTTTGGATGCTCTGGGCGTGATCCTCCAACCTCTATCTACTCTTCCCCTTTGGAGTCTTGTCATGTCTCATGGCTTTAACTCATCCTGTGCTCTTGACCTCCACCCTAACCTCTTCCATTACCTTCATACTCAAGAGCTGAATCTGTGTATGCCCACTAGGATGACAAGTAGGCATCTCAAACTGGCCTTGTTCAAGCTCTGACTCTTGACTTGTCTCAAGCCTATTCTTCTCCTTGACTTCTTTATTTCTTCAAAGGTCCATTCTAGGCTGGGCACAGTGGCTAACGCTTATAATCCTAGCACGTTGGGAGGCCGAGGTGAGAGGATTGACCAAGCCCATGGGTTTGAGACCAGCCTGGGCAACTTGGCAAGACCTCATCTCTACAAAAAATAAAAAAATTAGCCAGGTGTGGTAGTGCATGCCTGTAATTCCAGCTACTTGGAAGGCTGAGGCAGAAGGATCACCTGAGCCCAGCAGGTTGAGGCTACGGTGGCAGTGAGTGTACCAGAGTGGGTGACAGAGTGAGACTCCAACTCAAAAAAAAAAAAAAAAAGCCTATTCCATTCTTCTGGCTGTGAGAGGTGTGAAAGTGCCCCCCTCCCAATCCCTTCTCTGCTGTCCCTAGGGGCCAAGCCAGGCACCCTCACCCCCGAATAGCTTCCTGAGCCTTGCTTCTACCTTGCACCCCAGAGTCTAGCCTCTATACAGAAGGCAGACATCACTTTAAGTGTCACCAGAATGTGTCACTCCTCTGCACAACACCCTCTACTAGCTCTCATCTTCCACAGGAAAGAGTCCGTCAGACGCCACATGTCAGATGTCGTTTGTTGGGCACCTGCCCACGCCTCTGACCTGCTCTCCCGGGTTCTCCTCCTTGCCCTCTCCACTCCAGCTGTGAGGCCTTCTTGACTCTTCCCAAGCCCCAAACACCACCTTCCACGGGTCCTTTGCTCTCTGTCTGGATGCCCTTTCCTCCATCTAGTGGCCTGCTCCCTCACATCCCTCAAGTCTTTCTGTTCAGACGTTACCCCCTCTCAGAGGCCTCCCCTGCTGCCCTTTGTAAAACAGTAGCCCCTCTGCCTCTAGGACTCCCACTCTTCATCCTACCTTCTCAAATCTCTTTGCACAGCACAGACTACCATGTACCTACCACCTGGCTGCATGTTCACTTTATCACATTATCCTTCCCCCACAGAAGTGGAAACACCATGATGACGAAAACAGTGTTTTGTTTTCATCCCTGTCTTCAGCATCTAGAACAGTACCTAGCTCATGCAGGGAAAGAACAAAGGAAAGCTAACAGCTGGACCTAAAACTCCTGTGACAAGATTGGGTGTGTTAGGGTGGTATGGCTGTAGATAAGAATAAGAAAAATCGAACAACTGGAGGCAGTCAGGTAAAAATGCATTTTCTTTATGAGAGAAGAACAGGAGGTCTTAGAGCATCAATGACTTTTCCAGGGCCTTAGGGTGTTTCCTTCACTGAGTCACAGGCGCTGAGCTCTGGACACCTCACCTCCAGGCAGTGCCAGGCTCAGGCAACGACTTCGGGTTTGCAAACTGCCTTTGGCACTTCCTGGCCATGTGAACTTGGGTTAGAGTTACTTATGTTATCTGTGCCTCAGTCAACTGAGAAGGATGATAGCAGGAGCCAAGTTGCTCCCGGGTCCTTTTTATTTTTTGAGTCGGGGTCTCACTTTGTTGCCCAGGCTGGAGTGCGATGGCTGTGCCTTGACCTGTTGGGCTCAGGCGATACTTCTGCCTCATCCTTCCAAGTGGCTGGAACCATAGGCACACACCACCATCCCTAGCTAATTTTTTTTTTTTTAATTGTAGAGATGAGGTCTCGCCATATTGCCCAGGCTGGGCACAAACTGCTCCCAGGTTCTTAAGATAAGACTTGAAATAGGCTGGGTATGGAGAAAGTGGTGGGAAGCTTGTGGCACTTACCTGCACATTTTGGTGGTAGAATTAAAAAGCTTCACTTTGTAGCCAGTGTTGCAAATGAGCAGGAAGAGCTCCTTGGTGAGTGGTGGGTACCAGACCATACAAGTGGGGTGGCTGTCCTGGTCGGTGTGGTGAATGTCCAAGACTTCCAGGTGATCTTTGTAGCTCTTGAGAAGATTATACTCTATCTGCAGGGGAGTCCAGATGGACACATATGAGGACCTGGCCGAATACAAGGCTCAGCTAAGAAGCCTCAGGCTCTTGGGGAACAGAGCAGCCAATAGTGCTATTCTGGAGGAGACAGTATCTAGTCTCTTAAGAGAAGACTTGCCTAGACTTAACATCTAGTAAATAAATTACCAGTACCGTGTAAATTACCAATATTACTGTGAGCAAGATGAGCTAAGTGCTCTAAAAACATCTGCCATTCGATCCTAACTTCCTGCAAAGTAGCACTGATGTGCCCCTTTTACAGATGAGAAAACCAATGTTCAGAGATGCTCAGAGTGGTTTGCCCAAGGTCACATAACTAAAAAGTAGCAGAGCAAACATTCAAATTTAGGCCAATGGACTCTAAAACCTGGACTCTGACAGCTTAGCTCTGTTATACTGTGTATCTCACCATTTACCTCTGGAGCCCTTGAGAGGAGGAACTAATTCATATCTTAGTCTCAGCACTTGACGGTCACACATAAGCAGCCTGCTGACTACGGCCACAGGTGTGTTTTGGAGGCAGAGCAAGATGGATGAGTGAATAAACAAGATCAAGGAAGGAGAGTGGGGCAAGGCAGAGCATGACGTAGACACAGTGACGGGCTGATCTGGAAGCCTTTTGGCTGGACCCCGTAATAACAGGTTGGCCACTAGCCGTACCTCTCCTGCTGATCTCACAGCCCTACTAGCTTTCAGAGGTAGGCGGTCCCTGTCCCTCACTCCTGGACACAAAGGCTGTGTTGGCAAGTGCTGGCTTTTCTGATGCATGCTGGGAGGCAGGGCGGAGGCATCACCTTCCAAGCTGTCACTTCCTAGAAGTCTCTCATTCAGAACACGAGTCCCTGTGCGGTGTCCCCGCCCGTGTCAAGGCAAGATACCGGCTTGGGAGAGGTTTGTGATACTTTGCTGTACATTCATTTTCTCCAACAAACACACATACTGTGGGCCTGGTTCTAGCAAGAGGCGGGCATATCACAAGAATGAGATACAGTCCTGGTGCTCAGGTAAACGAAGACTAAACAGCTCACCAAGAGCCTGTCTCTACCGAGGCTCAGCAGCCTGGGCTCATTCGTGTCCAGGTGAACCCCAAACAGGAGACTTCGAATGCTTTTGTGATGAGAGCGAAGTCTTGCTAAATATTCCCAGACCCTCTGTCCATTTTTGACAACTCTCATGTAAACAGCCACAGTGAAACTTACATCCTGAAAATGAGCAAAAGAGCAGAAGTTATTTCTTTTTTAATTTCATAAATCAAGAACCATCTATTAAAATAGAGAGAGAAATCATTATGTCTTTATACTAATTTTACTTTTGAAATTTTTTTTTTTGAATCTTAGTCATTGGAGCAAGTAATGAAATAATGCCCATTTTACAGATGAGAAAATTAAGGTAAAGAGTCCAAAGGTATGCACTTACAAAGGTAGTGGGGGAGAAAGTATTGATCTGACAATATGGTCTTAATCTCCTTTCCATGTCCCCACCTCATTCTCTGTGGAAAACTGAGAGCCTTCTTTTTCTGCCTTTGTCTTTCCTTTTCTTTACCTAGCTACATTAAGTTTAGGAACGTAGGATTTTCCTTTAAAGTATGAAGGCTAAAAGTGAAACACGCCAGAGAGGGAGAACCCAGCCTGAAAGCACCTGATGCCTGAGCTGTGTGCACCCACAGGGAGCTGGGACTGCTTTGGGTTTCGAGAGTGTTGTGTATGCATCCAGAAGAGTGGCCACGTCACAGTGGAGGTGGGAGAGTGCAGGCAGGGACGGTGGTTTAGTGACGTGCTTTTCACTCTCCCACCATGAAGGCAGGCCAAGAGAACAGGCAGGAGGGAGGGTGGGAGGCCTGAGGAATCTTTCCTGAGATTAACAGCCAGCCCTGTTCACAGGGAGAAGGAACCGAATCCAAAATCCTGGTGGAGAACACTGCTCTGAGATCAGTCTTGTCAAAATCAGAAGGGAAGATGGAAGGAGGATGCAGAGTTGGGGTTTCTGGGACCTAACCACCCAAAATGAGCCATCAGGGCAGCAGAACCCAAGGTGGGAGCTTTGAGGCCCTGGGTTTGTTTTCAGGCAAAAGTCCTCCTAGCTCTATTCCTCTTTGCATAACAGCTTTATTGAGACAGCATTCACATACCATACAATTCATCCACTTAAAGTGTACAACTCCGTGGTCTTTAGTATATTCACATTTGTACAATCATCACAAGTTTAAAGCACAGTCATCACTCCAAAAAGAAGTCTCCCATTCTCCCTCAGCCCCATCTTTTGGTTTAACAAGGTTGTCAAGCCACTGGATGGGTCATTAGTGGAAATACTCACGGCAGTTGCCATGTACTGGGAGTCATGGGAAAAGCTTATATGAGTCACGCTGGTTCGGGAGTATTTGAAAGGCTCTGGACTTTCATTTTCTAAAGACATTGCATCAAGAATATAAACTGTCCCCTCTGTGAAGCCAGCTCCAAGAAGCGCTCCTGAAATGACAAGCCAGAAACAATGATGGAAAAGGACTTCATTTATTCAAGAAATATTGAGTCTGTGCCAGGTTTTGTTCTAGGTGCAGAGGAGACAGCAATGAACACAACAGAGATCCTATATGGAGAAATAAACTGAAAAGTCTGACACCTGGGGTTGAGCGTTTAGATGGTACTAGGCCCAGAATGCCATGGGGTCCCGGGAGAGAAAGGGGCACTTTCTGGAGCTGTGCCAGCCAAAATGCACCCCCTTGGGGTCTGTTTTCAACGTGGAACCGATGGTAGGCTGACGAAATGAAAATACCTTCGGGGTTGTAGGTCAGACTCTGGACTCCAAGGCCCTTCCCAAAGACCCTGCTGAAAAGGTATTTTTTCTTTGCGTAATCCCACACTTTGATCATCCCACAGATGCTCCCGATAGCAATGAGGGGCGCATATGGGTGGCAGGAGATGGCGCAAATGGCATCCTTGGGCTCTACAAATAACTTCTCAAGTTTGGTCCCATCTGTTGTTAAGTGGTACACCGTAGCATCAGATGTTCCAATGATAAGATTTCTGTTTGCCAAGGAGAGACGGAGCAGCATCAGTGTTTGCAGGGAATGGGGCACACCAGCTATTCTGCTTCTAATTGCACATAAAACGCCTCTGTCGTCTGTAATTTAGCGACATTATTAACCCAACATCTCCAAAAATATTCAACCAATACCCAACAGCCTCCATTTGCAAGAGAAAAAGCCCACTTTTCCACATGTAAATTGAGTCATTAAGTATGCAGATGGACAGTCAGTTGTACAATTAGCTAATCTGCACATGCAAATATTCATTTGTGTATGCAAATATGGAGTTTGGTGCACACATACAGATGTGCCTGTAAATACTGCAAGGGTAATTAAGCAGACTCACAGATAATTCGGTCTCGAAATGTTATGGCTATTAATTATCCAATGCCTTTAACCACAGTGGCTAGGACACACTCAGTTCAGAGAAGAGAAACCGACCTACAGTGAAGGACCCCAGACTCATCAAGACGAGAGCTCAGGGATAAGGTCTTTCAGCTTCCCTACGAAAGAGTCTCCATATTAAAATAAGGTTTAATTAATTTTCTAATGATCAAATAGTTCATTTTAGTCAGCCAAGAAGATATATCTGCAAGCCAGGTAAAGGTTGACTAGGAAGGCCAGTTTTCTCTATCTTATATCCCAAGAACAAGATGAACATCCTACTGCTTGCAAACTAAAAGAAGACATCAATCATTTTTTGACCATTTAAATGACCAGATTAATTAACAACATACCTTACAATAAAAAGGTCACCTTTTAAAGTGCAGCCAGGAGGATAGTTTGATTTCTCAGTAGGCGGAGGTGCTGGGGTCTTTGAAAAGGACAGAGATCTTATGATGCTCAGTTTGAAGTGACTGTACCAGTTAACGATAGACAGGGTATGATCATAGAACTTAATGTTACCCTTAATGTCACCTGTGACAATATATCTGAAATGGAGAATAACATCAGTCTGGTAAATAGCGGTCAGAACAAGTACCATCTATTGAGAACTTAATTAATTATATGACAGGCTATGGATTCTGAGGCATTGTAAAAACATCATTTAATACTGGCCAATGAGGCTAATTTTGCTGTTATCCCACTTTATATCTAGGTAACTAAGGCTCAGAGAAGTTAAGGAATTTGCTCAAGGCCTAGCGTTGCCAGATTCAGCAAATAACAATACAGAATGACTGGTTCAATTTGAACCTCAGATAAACAATCATTTAGTATAGGTATATTCCAAATACCACATAGAACATACACCTGGCAACTCCATCAGGGCCCTGTGGCTAGACCATGTGGGGAATCTAGGTGTGTTAGAGCTGGGTCCACACTCTCTGATATACCTTTTCCTTGCACCCCAAGATCAGCCATATGCAACGGCAGTGCGCAGTGATGAACACTTCACACCATATGATTACAGATGACAATGGAGAGAGTCATTCTACCAGCACTCTGAAATCATACAGGCTGGCAATGAGACACAAGCTGCTTTACAGGAAGGCGCTATTGTTAGAGTGATCGTAAATCCCTGTCCTGTCATCACAGCGCAAAGCAATGCCATGCGACAAAATGGCTTTTATTTCCAGTCCTTGAATCCATCCCAAATGGGCTTACTTTTTTTCTTTTTCTTTTCTTAAGACTCCAACATAATTCTGATCATGGGGGGAGGAAGGGTATGGATGTTCTCTTATATATGCACAGTGACTAAATGAGATTTCTGATTAATAAGCAAGGGAAGTGGGCAGTCATTGTCTAGAACATCTTCCACTGCCCTCTGCTGGACAGAAGCAGCAAAACTGGCCAGGTGTTTTCAGAGATCTCCTCCCTGGGCTCCCATGTCATTAACATGGAGAGAGGGGGAACTCAGGCCTGGCCTTCACTTGGTCCTAAACCAACCAATTATACATCATCTGCATCACCAACTGCAGCTCCTCCACTGTCTTCCCACACCACTGAGTGAGGAGGACAATTTGCATTTCTCTTTGTAAAACCATGTCAGAACTTCCCTAGTCCCCTGAATCAAAATAAAGGCAAATGAAAGCACACAGGCTTTGTGAAAGTAGATGGCACCACGATTCTAACCATATGGGCAGAGTCCTCATCATTAGGTGATTTTCTCCACGCTTTTGGGAACTTTCTCTCACACTAATGACGGCTGCCATTTACCTAGGAGCCCTCTGTGCAAGGTTGTGTGTTAAGAGTTTTACATCCTTGTCTCTGGAAATCCTCATAAAACCATTCTGAGAGACATAGTATTGTTATGCCCACTTTACATATGGAGAAATGGAGGCCCAGAAAGGTTAAGTCCCTTCCTCAAGGTCACTCAGCAAGGAAGGGATGCAGCTGGAACACAAACTCTGTTGTAACCAAGGCTTTTTTTTGTTTTTGTTTTTGTTTTTTTGAGTTGAAGTTTCACCCTGTCACCCAGGCTGGAGTGCAGTGGCACATTCACGGCCACCACAACCTTGACCTGCTGGGCTCAAGCAATCCTTCCGCTTCAGCCTTCCAAGTAGCCGGAAGTACAGGCATGCGCTACCACGCCAGCTTATTTTTTGATTTATTGTAGAGACGAGGGCTCACCAAGTTGCCCAGGCTAGTCTCGAACCCCTGAGCTCAGGCAATCCTCTTGCCTCGGCCTCCCAAAGTGCTGGGATGACAGGTTGGAGCCACCGCACCCGGCTGTAACTAAGGCTTTTAATGTTTACCTGTGAGTCCCCATAGAGCCACTCAAAATCAAAGGGGTAATGAATTTTATAAAGTTCTGATTTATTTGATCTTTTCCCAATGGATAAATATTATTTTGTAATCGGACAAAAACAATATAGCTACTCAAGTTATTTTCTTAAATTTAAAGTATGTAAAATTCTGGGTGTAAAATCAGTCTAATTAGCACAGAAGAAAAAAATCGGTTACTTTTTGTTTCACCAACACAAAGGGATTTTTTTTAACATAATGCCTGCCTATGATTTTTTTTAATCCAATTAGTACAAATGGGATTATAAAAAGAAGTCAGTCCACCCCCATGCTTGATCTTAGTTCTCAGTTCTTTTCCTCAGAGGCAACCAATGTTCCCAATTAATTGTGACTCTCCCCAGAAATATTCTATGCATATATGAAATATGTATATACATTGACTTAAAATATTTTTTATGAGCATCTACAGCTTCTTTTTAATTAAGTTCCTCACCTATCAACAGTAGTCAGCACACTGATGCCTTCTTTCTGCAAATGAACCAATTTACAAGGCTTGATATAGGGAAAGCCCGAAAAGCTGGAAGAAGATGACGGGGCATGGTGTATGTCCCAGACAACCAGCTTCCCTTCCCTTGTCGCTGAGAGAATTTGTGTTAAATTCAAGTGAAAGACGGACTGGCTAAATTTTCCCACGAGCTTGTTGAAGGTCTGTGTTTCAAAAGACAGGTTTTCAATTACCGTTGGTAATAAAATAAAACAAAGCATTTATCAACATGACATTTTATAACATTATGTTCACATATAGCTGGAAAAGAGAAAGAAAAAAAAAACAATCATGAGAAACCTTTCATGGGTTGCCATGGTTCAGGCAGTTCTGAACCTTTGACAGTTTACCAAGAGCAAGTGAAGGGTTATGTAAAGTGTTCAATTAAACTATTGTTTATAGCAAATGAGAGCATGGCTAATCACTGTTTATATCTGTTAAACTTCTCTCATGGAGGCTACAGAGACTAATAAAGAAACTGATGTCTGTTGTGAGCAAATGCATGCTCCAGTTCTAAAATATCGTAAAATTATTCCCCCAGTCTCCTTTGATCATAAGCTACAAGGGGGACCCAAGAGTCCTGGAATTTATTTATTAAAATTGTATGTTTATTCTTTTTAAAAATTATTATTATTTTATTTTAAAGATGTGGGGTACAATTCAGGATTAGATACATAAATGGTCAACATACAGATGAAGTTTGAGGCTCCCATTGGTCCTCACTTTGATATTTATTCTTTTAAGTTTAAACTTCAGTCACCTGGCAGGGAATGGTAGTTCATGCCTGTAATCCCAGCACTTTGGGAGGTGGAGGCAAGAGGACTGCCTGAGCCCTGGGGTTCGAGACCAGCCTGGGCAAATTGGCGAGAGCTCGGCTCTACAATAAAACAGAAAATTAGCCGGGTGTGGTGGTGCACACCTGTAGTTCCACCTACTTGGAAGGTTGAGGCAGAAGGATCACCTGATCCCAGCAGGTGGTAACCTAGGAGGTTGTGGGCATGCCACTGCGCTCCAGCCTGAGAGACAGTGAGACTCCAACACAATAAACAAACAAACTTCAGTCACCTTCAAAGTCCTCTCTGTTGGACGCAATATACCTACCGAGACACTTTTTCCACTGCTCAAAACGGTTTTTGAACTCACCAACTTTGATGCCTTTTAGTGTTTCTTCCATTTTTTGTTTCGCCTCTTCACATCGGCAATATGTTTTTCTTTGAGGACTTTTTTCATCCGGGGAAACAAAAAAAAAAAGTCGCTTGGGGTGAATAGGGAGGGTGGGGCATGGAGGTCAAGCTGTTTTTGCTCAAAAACTGCTGAACCCTTAGCGCAATGCGGGCAGGTACATTGCCATGGTGGAAGAACCTGCTTGCCACAACTCAGGACGTTTCTTCCACAAATCATGATACAAATGGTCAGCCAAATTTTTATATGGAAGTTTTGAGAGGGTTGAAGGTGACTGAAATTTAAACATGCAAGAATAAATACACAATTTTTTATAAATAAATTCCTGTTTTTTGGGTTCCCCCACCATATTCTCCCATTGGTAGAAATTATCTAAGCACTGTACATAGAAATAATGTGTTCGCCAGGCTGCCCGATTCTCTAATTATGCAGAACAGATCCTAGAGTTTGTCTCTTCTGACTTGAATACCAGAGAAACAGTAAAACAATTGGTCAAGCAAGAACATCAATTTCTTTCTAAGAGCAGTACTGTGTCAATACAATTTGCATCATTTCAGATTGCAGTCAATGCTCATTATTTATGGATTCTGTACTTGTGAATTGACCTGCTTGTTAGAATTTGTTTGTAATCCCCAAATCAGTACTCACAGCACTTTCACAATCATTTGCAGAATGTACATGCGCAGAGTGGCAAGAAACCTGATTCACCCAACATGCCCATTCCCAGTGGAGGTCAAAAAGGCGGTACTCTGCCTTCTTGTTTTAGCTGTTATATTGTTAACAAGTTTTCTTTCTGTGGTCTATCTCATGCCGTCTTATTTGCATTTCTTGATGCTGAAGTGTCCTTTTCATGGGTAGAAATTATCTAAGCACTGTACATGGCATTTAGTGCCATGTTGTTTGTATTTTTTTGGTGCTTTTGTTGATGATTTCAGTATTTAAATTGGCCCCCAAACAAAGTGCTAAAATGCTGTCTAGTGTTCCTAAGCAAAAGGTGGCTGTGATTTGTCCCTTATGCAAAAAATAACTATTAGATGAGCTTTGTTCAGTCATGAGTTATGGTACTGTTGGTCATGAGTTCATTGTTAATGAATCAATGTTATATATTAAATATGGTGTCTTTAAACAAAAATAAACATAAAGCAAGATTATTTATTGATCTGTTGGTGAAATGTGACCAGAGGTTCACAGGAACCTAATCCTATATTTCCCCTAGGAAAAATGGTTCCATATTTGCTAATTCAGTATTTTCAGACACTAAAGATTATAACTACTATGAACGCTGAGGATTGACTGTACTGCTGGACACTTTTATTTATGAAGATCAAAGTTTGAAGACAGAATAAGCTTTCCTTGTCACCATCTCTCTCTCTCTCTCTCTTTTAGCATACTCTCTTAAAAAATAAATTTCTACACATCATATCAAGAAAGAAGGAAAGATGCAATAAAACCATCATATGGTACCCCCTGAGGGAAAATTACATGGGTATCAAGTACAGAAAATGCTACAGGAGACAGAACTCCAGTTCCACCTCAGACACAATAGCTTGAGGTAAGCAGGCAAGATACAGTGTTTCTCAACATCTGGTTTACCACCTTCCTATGGGCTCTTAAACGTTTAAATATATAATATCAGCCAGGCATGGTGGCTCACGCCTATAATCCCAGCACTTTGGGAGGCAGAAGTGAGAGGATTGCCTGAGTCCATGGGTTTGAAACCAGCCTGGGCAACTTGGTGAGACCTCATCTCTACAATAAATCAGAAACCATGTTTTTGGATATTTTCTCATGGCAGTAGCTTTTTTTCCATAACATTTTTTAAACAATACTTCCATTATTTCATTCATTTGTTCATTAAAAAGAGATGGAGTCTCGCTTTGTTGCCTGGGCTGGTCTTGAACTCCTGGGCTCAAGCAACCTTCCTGTCTCAGTCTCCCAAAGTGCTGGGATTACAGGCATGAGCCACCATGCTTGACTTACTTCCATTATTTTCAACTGACAATTCAATATGGATAAAGGACCTATGTACAATTTTTCAAATTATTTTCTAATAGCTTAAAATCAAGATGTACAAAGAGCAGCCCAAAGCAACTAAACCTGTATATATATATTTATTCTCCACAAAATATGATATATTAAAATGCAATGGTCATACTCACTTTTTCTGTTAAAAGTGGGGCACTGTGAGCAAGTATATCTCTCTCTTCATACTGATAAATATACACAAAAAAATCACTACTAAAAAAAGACCTGGTTTCCCACAGAGAAACGACATAATAGCAAAATCAAAACAAATATATCTAAACAAGGTCAAACATTTGCAATTTCTACAGGTGAGAGAAGTTGTTGCCTCACGGAACATCTAAAAACATTCTGAAAGGAAAACAAATACGTAAAAAATGCCACCAATGATTGTGACTTTAAATGGTGGCTAATACAAATTTGAATTCTATGTTAATAAGGCTTTAAAGCTATAATAAATATATTAAGTAATGATATCACTGACAATCAATGGTCAATGCGTTTTTGCTTTGCAATTTTTTTGAGGTAAAATTCATTTAATATAAAATTAGCCATTAACCACATTCAAGTGTGCAATCAGGTGGCATTTAGTACACTCACATAGAGCTGTTCAACCAGCTCTATCTAGTTCCAAGACCCTTCCAGCACCAAGAAAGGAAACCTCATACCCATTAAGTAGTAAATCCATAGTCCCCCCTCCCTAGGCCTGACAATCACCAATTTATTGTTTCTATGGATTCGCCTATTCTGGACATTCCATATAAGTGGAATAGCACAATATGTGACTTTTTGTGTCTAGCTTCTCTCATTTAGCATAATGCTTTTGTAACTCACCATGTAACAGTGTACATTAGTAATTCACATAATAATATTCTATTGTCTGGATAACCACATTTTACTTACCAGTTCATCAGCTGATGAACATCTGATTTGTTTCCAGCTTTTCATTATTGCAAATAGTGCTTCTATGATATGTCTGTAAAAGTATTTGTTTGATTGCCTGCTTTCAGTTATTTTAGCTATATACCTAGAAACTGCTGACTCATATAGCAATTCTGTGTTTAATTTTCAACATTTTTTTTATCACTTGATTTTGCCTTGTGTCAGTATATATATATCACTGATCAGTTTACCAATTTCTGTCTAAAAGGGACTAAAGTCCAAGGTCTCAAAAAATTTGTATTTTAGACCTGTTAAATATATTCAAATAATTATTTACCTCATTTCCTTAATAAATTAAAATTTAATTATCTGCTTCTGATTTAATATGCTAATTTCCAATAGGACTACAATAAATAAATACTATAATAAAATATTTTAATATATATTCATTGCTTCCTAAGTAGAGATATCGTTACATTACCAAAACATCTATATTCAAAGAATGAACTTACATTTGTGCCCACATTTAAAACAAATCAAAATGCTTCTACTTACCCACACATAATATATAGCTTGTGTTTTACTATTGCTCACCAATTCTTTATTATTTGTTGGATTAAAAATAAGGTAGTTCTGAAATATAAAGTATGGAAATACATTAATGATGATGCATTTTCTATCTCTCTGGTTAAGCTGAATGCTTTAATTAAATAATAATTTTTATTAAAATAAATGAATAGGAATATAAAATAGAAAATACATGGAATTTGGTAAGAAATAAGAATATCACGTGAAGCCGGGCTCGGTGGCTCAGCCTGTAATCCCGCGCCTTTGGGAGGCTGAGGTGAGTGGATTGCCTGAGCCCGCGGGTTCGAGACCCACCTGGGCAGCGAGACCTCATCTCTACAATAAATCAAAAAAAAATTAGCCGGGCGTGGTAGCGCGCGCCTGTAATTCCGGCTACTCGGAAGGCTGAGGCGGAAGGATCGCCAGAGCCCAGCAGGTCGAGGCTGCGGTGCCCGGAGTGGCCACTGCACTCCAGTCTGGGCGACAGAGTGAGAATCCAACTCAAAAAAAAAAAAAAAAAAAAAGAATATCACGTGAATACTGGTTGTTAAAATAAATAGTGCCAAGGCCAGGAGCAGTGGCTCATGCTTGTAATCCCAGCACTTTGAGAAGCTGAAGTGGGAGGATTGCTTGATCTCAGGAGTTCGAGTCCAGCCTGGGCTACACAGCGAGACCTGGTCTCTACAAAAAAAGTCAAAAAAATTAGCCAGATGTGGTGAGACATGCCTGTAGTCCCAGCTACTTGGGAGGCTGAGGTGGAAGGATCACCTGAGCCCAGGTCAAGGCAGTGGTGAGCCATGATCATGCACTGCACTCCAGACTAGGTGGCAAAGTGAGACCTCAGCACAAAAATAAATGAATAAGGCCAGGCATTGTGGCTCATGCCTATAATCCCAGCACTTTCGGAAGCAGAGGTGAGAGGATTGCCTGAGCCCAGGGGTTCCAGACTAGCCTGAGCAACTTGATAAGACCTTGTCTCTACAATAAATCAAAAAAATTAGCCAGGAGTGGCGGTATACGCCTGTAGTTCCAACTACTCGGAAGGCTGAGGTGGAAGGATCGTCTGATCCCAGAATGTCAAGACTGTGGTAGCTGTGATCATGCCACTGCACTCTAGCCTTGGTGATGGAGTAAGATTCCAACTCAAATTAATTAAATAAATAAATAGCGTCAAATGTGTTCCCTTTCTAAGTCTTATTTATTATAATGCATCTTTTATAAATTAGAACAAGCAAAACTAAACCAATATACACCAATGACCTTTATTCTGTGTTCTTTGAGACAAAGATTGCTGCATACTTATTTCTAAATTTGACAGAGCCACATGATATCTTGGAATGAATGCAAGATATTGGAAGGATTCTGGTTCCTGCCAAGATGGTGAATAGCATGGGTTGTTGGCTGTCTTCCTAAAAATCGACCCTGGAGAAACTATGGAAGCATTAAATACAGAAACAAAACAATAACAGCAGCAACAACAAAGTGAGTGTCTTGAAACGCACATGGGATGTGGGCGGCTGCAGTCTGCAGTGAAGGGCCGTAGGAGACAGCTTGGAGGAACAGCCTGGAGAAGAGTTTCTTAAGTTTTACTCCTGCCATTTGCACCCATGTCCATGCCTATTTCTTTTTTTTTTTTTTTTTTGAGTTGGAACTGACGAAAGCAAGAGCACGGACCAGACCTCACAAAGACTGAAGATCACCCTCAAGTCACCTCCTGCTCTGATTAGGTTAAAGCGACCATTCTGCCAAGTGCCTATAAGAAGCAAGTCTTTTTTTGAGGAAATTATCATCCTGTGTCTCAAATGATTTCTATACTTTTTTTTTTGAGTTGAAGTCTCCCACTCTTGCTGCCCAGGCTGGAGTGCAGAGGCACACTCATGGCCCCCACAGCCTCAGCCTTCTGGGCTTAGGTGATTCTTCCGCCTTAGCCTTCCAATTAGCTAGAACTGCAGATGCACACCACCACGCCCAGCTAGTTTTTGTGATCTTTTTTTTCTTTTGAGTTGGAGTCTCACTTGGTCGCCCAGACTGGAGTGTAGTGGCGCGCTCCCAGCCACCACAGCCTCGACCTGCGGGGCTCTGGTGATCCTTCCGCCTCAGCCTTCCAAGTAGCTGGAACTACAGGCGCGCACTACCACGCCCGGCTAATTTTTTGATTTATTGTAGAGATGAGGTCTCGCCAAGTTGCCTAGGTGGGTCTTGAACCCGTGGGCTCAGGCAATCCACTCACCTCAGCCTCCCAAAGCGTAGGATTACAGGCTGAGCCACCGAGCCCAGCGCATCTTTATTTTTAATAGCCACAACCAGGAGACAACCCAATGTCTGTCAACAGCTGAATAAACAAATTGTTTTGTTGGGTTTTGTTTTGTTTTGTTTTGTTTTTTTGAGTTGGAGTCTCACTCTGTCGCCCAGACTGGAGTGCAGTGGCCGCTCCCGGTTGTAACATACCTATTCAATGCACTACTATTCAGTAAAAAGGAATAAACTGTTGATACATGCAACAACATAACTGAGTGAAAGAAACCAAAGCCTTCTGTAAAAAAAAAAAAAAAAAAAAAAGAGAGAGAGATTTTATATAAAATTCTAGAAAATGCAAACAAATAAACATTACTAATCAGATGGGCAGAGGTTGGAAGATGGCTGGAAGAATCAAATCATACCTTGGAGGCCATAAAATGGAGTTTTAATTTTATTCTAATCATAATGAGAAGTTATTGAAAGGTTTTAAGTAAAGGAGTGGTATAATGTTTTAATTACTCTTAAAATGCCACTCTGGCTACTGTGGGAAGATTGTCAGGGCGAGAGTGAAAGCAGAGACAATAGCAGGTTGCGTGGTATAGTCATGCAAGCAGAGATGACTGTGGCCTGCACTATGATGGTGGCAAGAGATGGAGAGAAGAAGAGAGATCCAGGGTGTGTCTCTGGAATCCAGGATAAATAGTACTTAATGTCTTGTGAATGAATGAGAACAACCGAGAAAGAACCACAGCAAGGAGAAATCAAACCCTGAGTACACTAATATTCAGAAAGTATACAAATGAAAAAATGAAATTCACAAAGGAATGGCCTGTGAGATAGCAGGAAAAGCATCTTTCAGGCCTAAGTGGAAGGTGTATTTGCTGTTGAGATAAAGAATAAAAATATTTATCAAGGTTCATTTGATTTGGGACTAGTTTGGAATTTGATTTGGGAATACCATTGGGATTTGACAATGACAAGCATAGTTTCAGTGGAGTCATGGGGGGTGACCTGGAAGACAGATGAACCAAAATGCCCATCATTAGAAGGAGAAGGCAGAGTTCACCCAGAGTTGGGGTGTCTCTGCAGCCTGCCTCAGCGAAATTCTCTGAGCTGTGCTGTCAAATATGTAGCTAACAGCCACATGTAACTAATGAGTACTTGAAATGTGGCCAGTGAGACTGAGGAACCAAATTTGTAATTTAATTTCATTTTGATCATTTTAAATTTAAATGCCACTTGTGTTCAGCAAAGTTGCAGGATACAAAATCAACATACAAAAATCAGCTGTCTTTCTATACACTAGCAATGAACAATCTGAAAAGGAAATTAAGAAAACAATTCCATTTACAATAGCATCAAAACAACAAAATACTTAGAAATAATTTTAAGCAAGGAGGTGAAAGATTTGTACTCTGGAAATTATAAACTGCAAAAAGAAATGAAAGAAGGCATAGACAGCAAGACATCGCGTGTTCAGGGACTGGAAGTCAATACTATGAAGATACCAATACTACCCAGAGTGATCTGCAGATTCAAAATTCCAAAGGTGCTTTTTGAGGCAATAGAAAAACCCACCCTAAACAGCCACCTGTGGTTGGTGGCTACTGTGTTAGCACAACTTTAAAAAGTAAAAAAAATGTTGGGTGCGATGGCTTACAACTGTAATCCCAGCACTTTGGGAGGTGGAGGCAAGAGGGTTGCCTAAGCCCAGACGTATGAGACCAACCTGGGCAACATGGTGAGACCTCATCTCTACAATAAATCAAAAATTAGCTGGGTGTGGTGGCATGCGCCTGTAGTCCAAACTACTTGGAAGGCTGAGTCAAAAGGATCGGCTGAGCCCAGCAGGTGGAGGCTGTGGCAGCCATGATCATGCCACTGCACTTCAGTGTGAGTGACAGAGTGAGACTCCGACTCAAAAAAAAAAAAAGGAAAGAAAAGTATTTTCAGGGGCAGGGGAAATGTTGGCAGGGAGGAGAGGAGATGGCCATATGGCTGCATAACCACACAGGTATGACTGAGTCTAGTCACTCAAACCCTCTGGGGTTCCAAATCTACAAGCCAGGTATGCACTTATCACAGTGCCTGGCACAGAGCAGGTACTCAGTAAATGTGAAATGAACAAAGATGCAGGGATGAAGGATACAGTGCAGAACAGCAGAGAGCAGTGACAATGGACTCAAAAGACGAATGTCAGCTTTCTGGGTGTCCTTGGCAAGGCACCTCATGTAAGTCAGGAGTAATAATAATAACTTCCCACTAGGTGCGGTGGCTCACACCTGTAATCCCAGCACTTTGGGAGGCTGAGGCGAGAGGACTGCCCGAGCCCAGGATTTCAGACCAGGCTGGGCAACTTGGTGAGACATTGTCTCTACAATAAATCAAGAAATTAGCCGGGCATGGTGGCATGCATCTGTAGTTACAGTTACTTGGAAAGCTGAGGCGAAAGGATCACCAGAGCCTAGCAGGTGGAGGCAGTGGTGGCCATGAGCGAGCCACAGCACTCCAGCCTGGACAACAGTGAGACTCCAACTCAAAACAACAATAATAATAATAATAATAACGACAACTTCCCTATATGCCTCACAAGTTAGTTACAAGGTTAGAAGCAATTAACAATGTTTCTTGAATAAAAAAGGCTGGGTGACTTTAGACAAATTATTTAATAATTAATAGTAGTATTCTACAGATAGTAATGTCTCTTTGCTAGCATGTTTGCATGGATTATGCGAGATAATGTAAGTATTTAGCAGAATCTGGCACATAAGTGTTTAAACAATATTAGTTATTATCATCAAAGATAAAACAAGATTAGGAATATGAAAGTGTTTTTAAAAGCTCTACTGCACCATAACAAAACTCCACTAACAAAGGGTAGGTTTTCACCTGGCTTTGGTATAACTTTGACTTTACAGACTCAAACAGAACTCACCTGGAAACCATACTCTTTGGGGAGTTGGAGAGAGCACGCTGGTGTTTCTGCTGCTAAGGTCCACTTCCAGATGCACACCTTCTGTACGTGGCAGCAGAAAGAGAGTGTGAGAAGACCTCAGAAGGCTGCTGAAGCAACTTACACCTCTTGTGGGGACCTGTAACATGCAGTAACTAAGCAAGGTACCACGAGCTAAGTCACAGCAGGGAAGCTCTGACTCATCTGGCCATCTCCTGAGAATGTCACAGATGTCATGCAGCCTAAGCAGAGCTGCCCATAGGGACACTCTTGACAGGTTGGCCGGCTTGCTGGGGCTAACTCAAAGGACCCTTACCTGGACTTCTGCATCTGAGATGGTTGCCAGATACTTGGCATCGTGGGTCATGGCTATGGCCCTGATGCCACTCCCTTCTGGGCAGCTGTCAAATATTGTGTGCACAGGAATCCTGCAAAACAGGACAAGGAGGAATGGCATTTACTAAAGTCTCTCTGGCTTCCCAGCGGGGCCCAGAGCAGGTCTGAGCTGAGCCCAAACCTTCCAAAAACACAACAAAATGTGGTGTATCCATACAACGAAATAATATTTATCCATAGAGAGTAATGAAGGACTGACACAAGCTCCAACATGAATAAGCCTCAAAAACATGATGCTGAGTGAAAGAAGCCAGACACAAAAGGCCATACACTGGATGATTCCATTTACGTGAAATGTCCAGAACAGGCAAATCCATAGAGACAGAAAGTAGCTTGGTGGTTACAGAAGCTGAAGGGGAAGAGAAATGGGGAGTGCCTGATGATGGGTGAAGGGTATCCTTTTGAGGTGACAAAAATGTTTTAGGACTAGACGGAGGTAGTAGTTGCAAAACAGTGTGAATGCACTAAATGCCACTGATGTATACTTTAAAGTAGTTGATTTTATGTGAATTTTACCTCAACAAAAGTAATAATAAAGCTTAACACTGGGGAGTCTGTAAACCTGCATTAGCTCTCTCCATGAGCTCAGTCTCTCATTCACTCATTTCTGGGTGCTGAGTCTAGGCTAGGTTGTGCCAGGCATGAAGCATGCAAATACGAAAAAAATGACTAGGACAATGTCCCAGCTCTCAGGAAAATGAGCACTCTGCTACATAATTGGGCATGTAAATGAACACAACTTTCTTGACAACAACTTGGCTATCTATCAATATCTTCAATGCACACACCCTATGGCCCAGCAATTCTGCTCCTACAACTTTTTCCTAGAGAAGTAACAGCGAAAAGTAAACAAAGATCAATGAAAATTCACGGTCATCGTAGCACTGCTTTAATAGCAAAAAACAAAACACAAGCATCTGTTAATATGCCATACATGAATTATTTAAAAATATTATAGCATAACCATATAATGAAAAACTATGCTGCCTTCAAAACAAATGAGGTAGACTGGGAAAGTGGTCAAGGTTTTATGAAAAAAGCAAATTGCAAAACAAGCATCCTGATTGTGTGTGTGTGTGTGTGTGTGTGAGAGAGAGAG